GCCGTTAATTCGTTTCCCCGAAACACAGGGAATTAATAACCATTGGAGGCATCGCGAAACGGTTATTATTCAGGCGGGATACTTCACGAGCGCGATATATTTTCATAATGACAATTTTGGTATTCCGCGTTGCGTTCCGCCCGCGTTTTATTTCCTCTTGTATCGGCCCACGCGATTTCCGACGTGTATTTCGCCCCCAAAACCTTTCGAATTAAACTGCCAATATGTATTCACGTTTCCCTTCACCGAGAAAAAATCTGGTCTGCATTAATTAGAAATCTGGTAGATTCAATCAATCATATGTCTGTTGAAAAATGGACGAATCAAAATTCCTTTAGAAATTGCCAGATGAATATGATTAATTTCTTCTTGTTTCAAAAAAAAATTTTCTTGATAATATCAAATTAAAAAAAAAAACAGATCACTGTGTACAGTTAATATAACAAGAAATTTTATAAATCCAACTAGAAAATACTAATCAAAGCCTTGTAGCAAAGTTTATTAAACGTTTCAGTTATAAAAAATCGAGTCTTATCGTGATAACTAGAAATTCTGCTTGGTTTAACCAAAATGGCTTTTATCAGATATATCTTGTTGGTACAAAAAAGATTGATACATCAAACGATTTTTCTCAGTGTTCGAGTCACCACTTGACTTTTTCCCCGTCTTTGACCTTTAATGAAAATTAAAGCCGCAGCAGCCAACTACGAAATTGCCATATTACATTTCACGAGGCAAATGTTAAATGTGCGTCAATGGTACGCACATCCGCTTTTTACGGTTTGGCCGGTTCGAAACAAAAGAGATTTTCGTGTTGTTTGCAAAAGAGCCACGCATAATTACCGCGCTCATTGACGCCAGAGGGAAAATAAGCTTACAAAAGTTGCAATCTGTAGCTTTTATCCGGGAAAATATTTGCACATGCGTCAGGAATATATGTGGACGCATATATATCTTGTTTGGCTATGAATGAATAAGATATTAATGTAATGTTTGTATGCAATAGCGATATATAACTATACATAAAATTATTCTTTTGTACCGAAATAATAAATCTGTTTATAGACTTCGAATTTGCACTTTTTCTAATAACTAGAATTATTTCTAGAAATATTTCATGTTATAGGTGTGAAAATAATAATAAAAAAAATCAATTATGCTCCTGAACGACAATGTTATGAAAAAAAGGCAAAAGAAAGGAACAATTTGCGCGCTAAAAAAAATCAAGAAACACGACCAAGTTCGCGAGGAAGGAACGACAAAGCCGAGTAAACAAGTGACGTTCTTCTCGACGAATGAGAAATACGTGCAATCAGCTGTTTCCGGAGAGATCGGAAGAGCAAAGCGAGTGAATTTTCCCACCAGAAATAGAAAGAAAGTGAGGGAGAGAAAAAGCGAGAGAGAGAGAGAGAGAAGTGATACAAAAAGGAGCGGAAATATAAATACGCCGAAAGTTCTTCCCATCGCACCTTCTGCCTAAAGTTGCGGCGGCAATCCTACTCTACTGCTTTCGCTCCTCCTTTTCTTTACTCGCGTCTCGTGTCTCGTCACCGGGGCTCTTTTCGCCCCGAAGTCATCAGCTACCTGTACGCGTGCATGAAAAACTTCCGAAGCAAGTCGGGTGAAGCGAGCTCGCTTCGTTCTCGTGTGACAAATCACCTGTCCCGAGGAGCCCGTTTCCGCTCGGCGCCGAAACGCGGCGAAAGGTGAAATTGCGGCTGCCGCAAAAACGCGTCGCTCTGGGTCGAGGACTGGGAAATTATACCGTCTCGTTGAAATTTGTGCCGACTAACTCGATATTCTTTGTTCGGACAAAAGCTATTTATGCACGCATCTTTTCATTCATATGATAATAAATATTCAAAATTAATAAATTTTAATTAAATAAAAACAATCAAGGCAATGAGAGCCAGCGCAGGTTTTTATGCGCACGTATTATGTAATAATAAATAAAGGAACACGATGTATATTTCTTGAACCGTTTATTTAATAAACGCGGACGTTTCGGCCCTTCTTTTGGCCATCTTCAACGCAAAAAAATCAAACAAACGCTCAAGCAGATATACATATAATGTTTATAGTTAACGCGATCAATAATCAAACCGGATCATATCAATATGTCTCAAATAAAAATTACATTAAGTCAGTATGTCGCAGAAAAATTAAATAAATCGCACATCTCGAGATCATTATGTCGCAGGTAGGATCCCTCCTATATCCTAATAAATTTTAAAATTAGTAAATATTTTTTTCTTAATTTAACGAAAAGAAAGATTTGTATTTGCAACAATGTAACATTTTTCGCTGTTAATATTTTGGAGTTGTATCGAGGTATTTTCTACTAGCATCTTGCTTCTCGCGAAACTGAATACGATAGCATCGAGAAAATCCTCGTTCGCTTCGATGGCGAAAAAACGTTTCGCAACGAAAGCTAAATGAACCGCGCGCAATCTCCCAGGAATCCTCAACAAGGCGCAACAATAGGGACGTAATAATAAATAAGAAGCGCATGAAAACGCAACAATAGCAGCGTAACAATAAATAGGGCGAGATAGAAAGACGCGAGTGAGCCAGGACGTGCAATAATTTCAAATCATTGGCATGCTGCATGGAATGTGAAATACCGATACAATCGTTGATCCTTGAAATTCTTGAAAAATATCGCGCGCGACGCATTCTGTGAATATTAAAATACGTAGGTATCGGCGCTAAATAATAACAATCTCAAGATGAAAATTATTTCCACCTTGAATCGAAAGAATTGAAGAAGCTTGAGAGAATTTTCACGATTGAAAACTACGAAATTAGTATTCAAAGGGGAACGAACGAGTATGTTATTGACTCTCCACGATTTCATTTTCCCCCGAGTTTTTATCGAGGTACGTACCAGAATACATAAAAGTATAAGGTATCAGTTTATATACGTAAATTCGAAATGATATCGCTAAATTCCTTGATTGAAGAAGCCTAATGAATATTTTCGTTTCAACAGCCGGCGCGCCGACATCGAGCCGAGCCCGCTAATTATTTATCCGCCCATTTGTTCAAGTTTAATAATATCGATATACATTGTCCGCGATGTGCCGCGGTAATCTGCCTGGTAGAAAGCATCGAAACATTCTCGGGAAATGAAACTTAGTTCGAAACAATTCGCAATCCCGCGATGGAATCGCGCTCGAGAGGGGGAGGGGGCGGGCAGGGGGAGGAGGGGAGGAGGGGAGATTGGTGGCTCGTGTTAAACTGGAAATAGTGGCTCGGCAATGTTAGCGGAGATTGGCACGGATCCAACGGATTCATCGCGCTCTGTGACTCACAAACGACGACGAAATCCGAAGTCAACTGTACGTTAATCTTCTGCCAGCGCGCGCTTTTCATTTTCATCCCTCTCCGCTTTCGAGCCCTCCAAGGAAGTTCATTCTCGCCTCCGACTGCCATCGACTATTTCGTACTTTTATTAAGGATATCTTTTCATCGTCGTGACACGAGGCTCGTCGGGATTTCAGCGAGTCTGTACAGTAAGAACTCGCTTGAAATTTTTGAGAGACTTTAGAGAGATTAATCGAGATAATATTGGTGTTAAATAGTTCGAACTTTTGAAAAAAAATATGATAAATAAGGACGCCTAGTACCTTGTCGCAAGTTTGGATGCTTTTATAAATTTCCGAGTCGAATTTGGCGAATTTTCAAGAAGTTGATTACACAACAACGTGACGAACTGCGAGGTCATTTCCGTCCTCTTCTTCGTGATTTTTCTTGGATACAAAACTTCTCATCTCTTCCTACATTTACCATTTCCGTAAGACGTTAATATAGAACGAAATAAAAGCGTTCTTACTCCGTTATCTTATCAGATTTTTGTCAAGAGGACAGAAAAGAGAAACGCGTCTCCGAAATTTTCACGTGATATATTTCCAAGAAATATCGGAATTTTCTTTTTTTAATTCCGTAAAGTTCAGTATACTTTCGTTCTAAAGTTACCATTTTAAAATCTTTAGAGTAAAGCAGTTTCGCTGTCTAATAAGTAAGTAGTTTCAATGCTATTTTCAGAAAATAAAAAATAGTGCTAAATGAAGTTATTACCGAAAAATTTGCAAAATCCAGGCATAGCGGTCTAAAAGAATCACGTGTTTTTTTCTTTCACGAATAAAAGAACTCGATACTGAAAAGATTAAAGGCAGTCGTTGCGCGGGAGGGTTTCGACCGCGATAATTTATTTCCGACGACGACGGAAGTGAGCGCACGATTCCTGGTGGGTGCATTGGAACGATGGTAGTTTCGGAGGATGGAAATTGGCGTAGGTCCAGGATGAATTCGCCCGTCGAGCGAGGCGACACGACGCCCAGCCTCGTCGTCGTCGTATCGGTGCCTACGAGAAAAAGCGAGCGAACTCTCTTTTAAGCTCTCTCCGTTCTTACCTAGCCCCGCGATCTATCTCCCGTTCCTGCTCGCGGCATCCTTTTCGAGTGCGTTGTGTCGAGAGCTCTAAATGGAATTGGCGTCGCGCCCGTGAATGCGTCTCGCGCCTCTTGGGTGAGATGGGATTTCTCGCATCGCACGCATGACGTTTACCCTACGCTGATAGTTTGTCCGCGAAGAGAAAGCTTCTTTCGATCAGGAGTTTGAGTCATGGAGGCATTTTTGATCGGGAACCATCCTCGAAACCGATGCAGTACATTTTTTCGTATAATTATTCACGCATAATTAAAGAGCAGGAAACGATCGATTTGTTCTCCTTCTCGGATTTTATTGTTATACGTAACTTATGTTGGCTTCGGAGCTTACGTTAAGCTTCTTGAGCACAGTAAAACTGAATAGGAGACTATATCGTTAATCTAAAGTCAAGAGGGTTTTAATCCCCCGGAATTGTAATTCAAGGTATAATTGGAATTGAATATTAAAAAGTTTTACACAATGCGATTGTGTGCTTCTTTCGGGATGTTCATTAAGAGGAATGTTAAAAGTGCATGCAAAGTTATGTTAATGTAGGAGCAAGCACTTACCGCCGTGCACCTCGCAGACTAGGAACAGGTCGGCTCCCTCGGGATACGCTTCGAGGAGTTTACTCATGTCCCGCCTTTTCGCGTCATAGATTATCGGCTTTTTCGGTGGCACTGTAAACAGAAAAACAGAAAATATGTAAGTGACGTGTGCATATTTTAAATAAATTTTCCTTCAACGATCATATAACCCGAAAATTATAAAAAAGATAATTACTTTGTGAGGACTATAATCGTTAATAATATATTTATTTATGTATCTTTCATTAATATATAAAGTCTCTTAGAAAGATAAGTCAAATTAATCAATTCATTTTAATAGCTAGAAAATTATACGCTTAAATTGATTAATTTATCTTCTATGAAGCTCATATAATAAAATTATATATGTAATTTATTACAATTAGATATTTAAAATATATTTTTTATTTATTTCACGATGTAAATCTTGATTAATCGCGAATAAGGCACTTTCGCATCCAAGTCCCCATGTCCATAAACTGTTATAATAGACGGGAAGACTGACAAGAGAGGAAAAGAAAAAGGCGAGAAGGAAGCAGCGACTGCTTCCACTTGACTGGCGTCGGCACGCTTTCTTTTTCATCGCCAGCTCGATGCATTCACGATACAACCGAGGAAGAGGTAAACGCAAACAAGCTGACGGGAGTCTCACCCCGATATGTCGCCCGGATGGAAATTGCCCTCGGCTATTGTCGCGACAATACTGAATGCACGCGCTCCAGTCGTTCGTGCTTCCTTCTTCCTTCGGCGAGAAGCCGCCCGAAATAAACCCGGGAAGAGATCGCGAAATCGCGAGAGGGCGAAGCGACACCGATAAAAGCTTTCAAAGTGCGACGAAATATTCCGGCTCGGTTTATTCAGCAACGACAACGACACGTGCAAGCGTTCGCGCCTGTCCCGATCCGCGGCCACCTGTGCTCGCGTCCCTATGAGCCACATCAGGATCGACTCCGCGTTCCTCCAGAGAGACGTGCGGGCGAGGAGATCCCGTGGGAATCCTTATGTAGATGTCGTTCAGAATCGCTGTTTCGCCTCGAGCGAAGTTTACGGTGCCGTCGTGTCGCCGGCACCGTGACTTGTTTGTTCATATCGTCGACGATCCGGGCGCCTGTATCCCAAGTATGTGCGATATTTTCGGTACGTGTTCTATGAAGGCAAACAGAGCTCAGTATTGTCGACCCTGTGTTCGGGGCTGTGGCACGAGATACGGCAAAATACGTGGAAAAATGTAACGTATATAAGAATTCTACTCGCAAACAACGGTATTAATACATCCTATAGTTACTCGTTAAGAATAAATTTACATGTTATTCGCATGTTATTTTTAACGATAATAATAAATAATAATGCATACCTTTCATAAATTGTAATTTTATTTATAACGATAATAATAAATAATAATGCATACCTTTCATAGATTGTAATTTAAATCTTAAAAAGTTCCTTCTCTTTGCCCATCCTCTCGCGCCCAATTAATTAAAATATACATTTTTTGCAGATTTTTTTAATATTATTATTCTACCATAGAACGTAAGAACAATTAAAACTAATTCGATTCGTTACGTGCCCCTCGTCGCGTGCAAAAAGATATCGCCTCATAACGATTAACTTAGCGACACGGAAAGAATTCAATAACCGTCCGAGTAATTGCTATCCCTGGCGTGCGATACGATCGCTCGTCGGCTCGAATCGATATGCTGAAGAGCGGCAACTTCTTCAGTGGAAAGAAGTGCCTCCATTCCCACGGGATTCTACAGATGAACGTCGTAATCTCGACGGAGATTACGCGAGAGCGGCACAAGACGACGCTTTAGTGGCGCTAATACCCGGCCCATTCGCCGGGCTTTTATAGCAACGTTTATCCGAGAGAGATACGCGATTTTTTTCCCCGTCTCTCATTGTCGACCATTGTTACGTTGACAATCGACTCGCTCGCGAAAAGAACTCTAAAGGTGTGTCCGACGTCGCATCAACGAGGATCGCGCGCGTCTGATATGAATCGCGTCTTTACTACTTTCACCGACCATTCCTGCGGAAAATTTACGAAAATGCTATCGCCATGTTTGCGACTACCCTCATCATGCTTTGTTTGCCTCTTGCAGGTATTTTAAATTAGTAATACATTTTTAATAATTCATAATGATAAAAGATACGTTTGTAATTTTAAGAAATTTAAGAATAAATTTAAGAATAAAAATGCAAAGAGATTTTTTTTCAATATTAAAAAAAAATGTATTAATTTATTCTTGCAAGAGATTTTACAGAGACTTTTAATAATTGATAGTTTTGACGAGAAAAGACGATTTTTGTAATTTTACGAACTTAAGAAATATAAAAATATAAAAAACTAAAATTTCTTTCTCCATATTATTGCTCCATATCACTGCTGTATTAATTTATTCTTATAAGAAATTTTATAGAGATTTTTAATAATTAATGGTTTTGTGTGACAAGAAAAGATGATTTTTGTAATTTTATAAATTTAAAAATATAAAGAATATAGATTTTTTCCTCATATCACTATTGTATTAAGTTTCAAGAGATTTTGCGACATTTTTATTAATCCAATAATTTCAACGAGGAAAAATAGCTTTTGTAATTTTACAAAGAGACTAAAATTGTAAAATAAAACATAAAATATAAACATAAATATAAAAAATAGAAATATATAAATAAAAAAATATATAAATTAAAATATAAATATACATATATAAAAATAAAATATAAAATAAGGGACATATAGAAATTTTTTTCAGTATCACTATTAACTTATTTTGACAATTAGTTGCTATAATGCAAAAATTATTTACAGATCTGTATCTTTTCTAATAATCAATGTGGCGTCATATTTCTCAAGTACAGATATTTTAGCAATATATATATATAACTATATCTATATATATATATATATATATATATATATATATATATATATATATATAACCCGTGTATCAATGCCAATTAGCAATAACTTCACGTTAATCTCCTGCGATTAATTACGAAATAAATCGCTGTCACACGGGTACCACGGGTCTGATGAATATTCATGATCGTTAGTAGTGTATATGAGATATTACCGTGTTATTATTCTAATACACGTATTACCGACATAATCGACCGAGGAATCGATATCTAAAAAGGGTGATCCTATCAAAATCGAACGCTATTTATAACGCGGTGGATGTGCTGTATAGAATTTTTCCTCACTTCGACGCGATAACCCCCTTCTCTCTTCCTATAACCGTTCATTAATCTTCCCGCACGCGAGAGACTCATTCTCCCTCCGACCGAATTTTACATATTTATTATCGTCTACGCGAGGCATGGCTGTTTCAGTATTCGGTCCGTTACACGTCGTCGAGCTCGTCATCGAAACCCCGCTAAAACCCGCCCAAAGTCGTACAAAGCGCCTGGTACAAAGGCAACCCCGGGGCGATCTCTCGCTCCTCTTCCCGCTTTTTTACCTCCCTCTTCGCTCCTTCTCCTCCTCTCGTGGCCCGCGGATATGATTTGCGGGATTTACGTGTCTTTCTCGGGAGAAAGAGAATCGTCTCGTGTGGCTCACGTAGGTGGAAAATAAGCCGCTCGCGAATCCCATTCGACGTTTCCGGAATCTCGCGGGTTAGAGCAGGGCAAAAGGAAAAGAGAAACAGCGGTAACATATGCGGAGACCTCGGAAGCACCTCGCGCGAAACTTTTACTGAAATTTCGCTGTACGCGGAGAGCCACCGGGGATACGCCGGTTGTCTTTGTCGGTTATAAATGGGAGATACGAAACGGTGCACTTGAAAAGTCGGCGCTTGTTGGTTTCTTGCCCGGAATCGCCTCTCCTCCTCTTCCTTCCCTCCTTCCCTCTTTCTTTCTCTTCCTTTTTATGGCCGACTGCGAATGCGGTTGAGCGTTTCCGCGAGTGTTTACCGTGATTTTCCGGGGCACCATTTTTCCGGGGCGAACTGAAAAAGTATCGATATCAATTCCGCGGTGCAGTTAGTAAGCTACGAGCTTTTGCAGCATCGTATGCGAACAAAGTGAATTCTCTTCCCGCGTTAAAAATTTAAAATCATATCAAATTTTAAACAATCACTCGCGGAACGATAAGAGGGACTTCCGGCTTTTTCCAACAAATTCGCATTATTCGATGCCTTTTGGAAAAAATGGAGTCCCAAGAGCGGCTAGGATCATCTGGCAAATCAACAGGCCGCTAAAAGGGCTCGAGAGGTCCGTCAGAAAATCGAGAAGAATTTACTCGCACAAATCAAGCCGCTCAAGTCTACGAGTGTCGAGAGCGTCCAAGAATGAGATGGGGATCGATGCGCGCGTTTCCGGACCGAAAATCCTCTCGCTGGACGCCCTTCCAACGACAACGTGTAAACCGTTTGGCCAGCAACACAATGGCGGGCCAGGAGGTCCGACGGAGCGAGGAAAATATATTGCTAATAGGGTTTGCAACACGGCCCGTTAGTCGAGAGTAATGCCTTACCACGGGGTGGCACACGTTAAGCTCGTTTAACGAACCACACCCCGCCTTCCGTCACTCTCTCTTTCTCTCTCTCTCTCTTTCTTTCCCTCCCTCCCTTTTCTATCTCTCCCTCTCGCTCTTTTTGCCCTTCTACTCTCGCGCGTTCGTGCTTCCGTGGACGTCGATTAGATTTATGGACTTCCATCGTGTGTCACGCGTTCGACCCTCTCGTCGCCGTACTCTCGTTCGTCGAGGGATTTCAGCCTGCAGCCGCGATAACCGCACGTGACCGTTTCGAGTCTCTCGATTAGGGAGGTATTCTTCTTCGCGAATCGAACGGAACGGATTGCACGTCGCTTTTTTACACGCCTTCGGTGAGTTATTACCGTCCGATGCACTTCGGGATTCAAGTAACTGTGAATGTTCTGTTATTTCGTTATCTCCAGACAGTAAAAATTATTATTATCTCTACTGTAAAAATAAATCATTATCTTGTTATTTCTCTGACTTATTTTTTAACTATGTACATTGCAAAAATTAGTACACAGAGTGTCCCAGACTTAACGAATCAGTCGTTAATGGTAGATTCCTGAGATCATTTGGAAACAAAAATCTTAATACCAAAATGTTGAGG